ACCTCACTATGTGGAAATATTAGCATAATGCCGCCCAAATGTTCACACAAAGAAAGAAGGCGTGGTTTTAGTAACCGCAGTTAGTGTTGAAGCAGTTATGTCATAGAGACGCTGTTTGTTTCTAGGCAAAAGCAAGAGCACTTTATTTGGCCTTCCGAAAGTAGATGCATTTAGGAATCTTTAAGATTACTGATATTTCACTTTTTTTATTTCCAAATAATGTTTAGTCCTAGAAAGCTATTATTATCAGAACACGTGAGCACAGCGGTTAGCAGATCAATAAATGAGAGGGCAGCGTTACCAGAGTTGCCGATATACTGTACCACACCATGTTACAACACAGTACGGCTATTGCAGACAGAAATAATCCTGTACTACATCGATGTTTCCTGTCGGCTCAATTTTTGAGTGGACTTTGCTGTTCCGATGAGCATGAACAGTATATGAGTGGATAGAGCGGGATAATACGCAGAGCGTCACACCACGTGAAAGTGAAACCTGAGCAGTGAACTAATTTTCGGCAGCCGAAATTTCGGTGCATCTCTAATTATTGGCGACATCAGAAATTTTTTACACGGCACCCCGGTTGGGAAACACTGCCCTATACAACGCTGATTTTTACCTTGCATCCCACATACATATTATGCTGAATCATCAACGTCCTGTTTCAGTCTGGGAGTGGAAAGTGAACGAGTACAAAAATCCCATCTGGCTCTTGGCTGGCGGTCCTCCCAATCTCCCTTTCATTCTTCTGTAATGTACAGGAAAGCTCAGAGATATGAAGGTACGCACTGGTGGACAGTATTTGCTCAGACTCATTACTGAATCGCTGCCATTTTCACTTGACATTTTGGACCATTATTACCTGTCTGACATTTGAGAGCCAGATCAACGTGTCTATGAAGAGCTGATTACATAATGGTCCGCCCGCCTGCACGTCTTGTTTACTCCTGAGGAGCGACTAATATAGAGGGAAGCAATTAATATTGTCTACTTTCAATTCACACAATTAATGCTGAACACAAAGGTCTCAGCTCCATTACACTGGCTGCGCTGGTCGCTCGTGCAAATACATGAAATGAGTCTGAGTACAAGAATTAAGAGCCCGTGGGCACCTTCGAGGTGCTGTGGTGGATCTGATGTAGCTTACGGTCCTGAGCTAAAGGCTATCTTAGATCAGCATGTTGTGAGACTTTCCAAGTTTGAAATTAGAAAAGAGTTTCAACAACAACAAACTCTCCCACAAAGAGCTTCTACATTAAATAACGGTCCATTATCTTGACTGCAACAGGGGTGGAATAAAGGTGAAGGACAACTGATTGGTGGATTGGAAGGGTGGGCGTGAGTCAAGAGGCCTCCAGATCTTTTGATCCCTGTCTGACGCATCGATTCCTCATCATTTCCCATGGACCTATGAAGTAAAGCCAATCAATTTTAGTGCATTTTAAAGAATTGTTTCACTCGGTTTTATAAATTGAGGGCAGAGTGAGTCACTGGACCAGTTCTCCAGAACAAACAAATATCTCATTCACAAATACAACAACTCCCACACAGAGATTAACGTATCAAATAGCCCAGAATCAGATATGAACCATGACAAAAACGCCACATAATTTAATGCCACATAATTCCATTCGTAAGCTGGAATTTGAATTGAAAAGGTCTTATTTATTAAATATAATCAAACTAATAAATGTAAATATAATCTACACTAAATATGCATTCCTATTATGTAGGTGGCATTTCAAATATTAATTATCAATATCATTTAACGTTTGTGGAACTACTACTCTGGAACTTCAATTCAAATCCGATTCACATTCAGGAATTTAAAAGGCATTCTAAATTCAGTTATGAATGGCACTCAACCCTGCCACCCACGTACAGTCCCATAGATGGATCCCTTTTCAGGCAGACAGACAGACGGCTCCCACTCTCTCCTCCTGCTGGATCATTGAGAGAGACCAGCCATTGACCAGGAGAACATGAATGAACGACTGCAAAGGATTTTTTCACTCTGAGCAAACCCAGCAACAGAGCAGTGACATTTATGCACACACACGCTCAACACACACAAAACCAATGCAAAGTAACAACAAACTCAGATGCCACGCATAACACATCATCACACATAGCCCTTATGTGCAACAAACACTTAAAGAGGAGAAGTCAGGGAAAATAGTTGGAGGAAAAAAGGGCAAAAACCTGCTTTATGTCTCTCTCTTTTCTCTCCTTGACTCCCAGAGAGTGAGGGAGACATGCCTTCCAAAAGTGAGCAAAGTAAACTTTCAAGAAGAAAGCGCTAAGAACTCAACGCGTGGGAGAGAAAGGAGACGCGATGTTATTTATATATTTCTGTTTATCTGTTTTCCTGTCATTTATTCAGAATGCAGCGTTTGAAACACCCCTTAGGATGAGAACTAGAGGAGAGGAAAAGGAGATGGCAGTGGCACAGCTGCAGAAATTGTTCGGGGACTTGTGATAACTGAAGAAAATATGCAATATAGAGACAAATGGTGAAGTTATAATACATTTTTCTCTGGCCTTTTTCATCCCATCACATTTTATCTTAGATGGAGTGATCCATGATGTAGAAAAATGACTGCAGAACTGATCTAATATGTGTCTGATTTTACCTCACATCATTGACTATTACTGATGATATAATATCTGGCCAGCTTGTGATTTTTTTTGGTCTGTTGGCTAGCTGATCTCTCTCTCTCTCTCTCTCTTGCTCTCTCTCTCTCTCTTGCTCTCTGTCACTGCGTAGGTTTAATTTGTGGAGATTAAAGGACACATAGCATGGGACAGATGAGAGCTGTTTTGTCCCGAAGCATATTTTTCACCCGGCTTACTGTCACCCTGGACCACATGAAGCAAAACCACTGATTTACTGCATCCAACTTTACCTGAGCTTGACATCCTTATCACACACACACACACACACACACACACAATCTGACAATTACAGACAAATCACACAAAATGAAATCAGCATAAACTTACAGACAAACATCACTAGAGCTAACTGTACATGAAATCATTGTAACTATATGACTTTAATATTTTCTATATTTTCAAATATTCCAATATCAATAAACTGCTCCTAAATAGTCTGAAGTGGAGTTTATAAACACTTAAAGCTAGGGTTAGTAATCAGCTGAATTGTGATTAACAATATTTTATCCTTTTTTAAGAAAAGAAAAATAAATAATTTATCTGGATACTATGCCCATATAAATGACACTGGACAGCGGTGTATTTATACAACAGTGCTTTTTGCTTGTCTCACTCACACACACACACACACACACACACACACACGCACACAATGCTTTAGTTCTCAAACTTCATCCAAATGCACAAAAGTGTATATCTGAAGCACATTTTAAAAAATTGAAATAATAAAAATAATAATAATTAATCCCATTTTACGATTTGGAATTTAATTGAACTAATTTAAAAAAACATAGTTGGTCAAAACATCAAAACAAATATTTTATGTTGGACTGTTAAAGCAATCATCAAAATGTTTTGAGAAAAAAGGTTTATAAAGCCAATATGTTTGATGGTTTATGGGCTAGCTAAATAGCACAGCAGAACAATAGACAGACAGACAGACAGACAAATAGATAGATAGATAGATAGATAGATAGATAGATAGATAGATAGATAGATAGATAGATCTTCATCTCAGTTTTTTATTACAATGCTGTCTTACGCCTGTATAACTGCAGTGCTGTTGACAGAGTAGTTTCTAACATTCTTTGATTTTTCTCAAGGGTAACCCAAACACAACAGGCAGAGTGGGGGGCTCGAGCACACTTACGATGTTCATAAGAGTGAGGAGGTACTTCTCCACATTCTGCTGCCCGTGAAACTGCACCACGGAGTCGTCCACCCCCAGCAAAACCTCAATGTAGTAGGCCCGATCGGGCAGCTGTCTGCGGGCTCGTCGGCTCTGGTTTATACTGCGTTCAACACCCTGATACAGAGTCTCAAGGTCCAAAAGTCTGCCCAAATCAGCACCTATAAAGAAACACAGAAACTGGTGATTTTGTGAACTTCATGAACAGTTTAATCATTTCTAAGTGTAAACTACTAAACCATTACAGCAATTCGCAGAAATTAGTACTTCCTTTTTTTTTTTTGAGTGACATATTGTTGAAGACAAGAAAGGAAACGACAGTGTCATAATGAGAAACCGATCAAACCACTAGCCACTGTACGTGGTGTCATGAGGTCATTTCCTCTCCAGGCGGATAGATGGAACATGGAGGAGAGAACACATTGAGGAAGATCTATCACCTTGTCTCCATCACCCAATCAGCTGGGGGCATCTTCTATGCTCCAATTATGTAACGTTTCCTAGGAAACCTGCTCATGGGTAAACCAACGCTCGGTGCAGACTAATATTAGCTCACCAGTCACTTTCTTATTAGATGATAATCCGAGAGTAAGAACAATATTCATCATCTTAATGCTGAGAGTCAGTAACATTATTACAGGGCTACAGAGGCAAGACAACAAGCACAGAAAATTCCCAATAAACCAAAAAGAAAGGTGTAAGAGTGTTTTTTTTGTTGGTATTTATCATTATGAAGGATTTTGTAGGGTTGCAAACTTCCTCACCAGCAGGTGTTCATAATATCAAAGCCTGTGTCAGCAGATTTCCACACAAAATTGGAAGAAAGCTTCTACAGTACAACAAAAGCAATTAACATGCTCTTGGCTCTTGTCTTTTATTATGCACAGTATTCTGTATAGACATAAGATTTTATTTTTTCTGAAGCCATTTTTTATGTACACATATTTTTATGCCAAATCTAATCAAAACTACCTGCAATACCTACACCAGGCTGATATTATAGCATACTCCGTTTATGGCTGATGATGATCTGAGGGTCACCTCAGAACTTGTTAATGCCAATTCAGAAGCTAATAAAAACATATTAAACATTTGCAAAGATTTTTTGAACCAAATCTACTCACACTCCACACTGTAGTTCAAAAGTAAGATTTAAAAAATATATATATATATATTTTATTCAGCAAGAGATGCATTAAATTGATCAAGTGACAGCAATGCATTTATAATGTTAAAAAAAGATTTCTGTTTCAAATTAATGCTGTTTATTTGATTTTCTATTTATCAAATAATCCTGAAAATGTATCACATTTCCACAAAGAGTATTAAGAAGCACAACTGTTTTCAACATCTCATTATAATAACAAATGTTGAGTAGCAAAACAGCATATTAGAATGATTTATGAAGGATCATGTGACACTGAAGACTGGAGTAATGGCGGCAGAAAATTCAGCTTTGCCATCACAGGAATAAATTACATTTGAAAATTGTAATAAAATTTCACACTATTACGATTTTACTGTATTTTTGATTAATTAGATGCAGCAACATAATGCACATAAATGCAACATAAAGCAATATTCAATGAAAAACAAGCCTTTTTATATCCATCATCATGGAAAAACTTTTTCTTTAGGAAAAGAAAGAATACAGTTTTCCCACTGTTCTACCCTACTGTGATGACTAACCTCTTTCTATGACATCTGTCTTTTTCTGCTATTCTGTGATCCTCCAAAACTTGACCCATCACCCTGTCTGTCAAATACACCCGGTTCCGTTCTGAGCTCATGAGAGACATTCACATTCTGGCTGAGGAGTCCTCGCCCTTATCAGGACACAAAGCTACTTTGTCTTTCAACCTTTGCAAATGTCAAGAGAGTCTATGAGGAGAGAAAGATGGAAGAAATGCAAGAAGGGGAAGGGTGCTCAGACTGGTAGGACATTTGAAAAGATTGATGGCGCGCCGCGCACTCAGACCCCACCCTGGGACGCACGGCCTCCCAGGTTGGGTCCCTGTGTTTCACTGTGCTGCCCCACTGCGGGTACGTCGGTGGTTTCCCTAGTCTCGCTTGTTCGGTCGCTGGGGGCCTGGTTAGCGCTCCCCAGGCCATCTCGCTGGCTCATGTGAAGCATCAGACTCGGCTATGCGATTCAATTCGCCCGGCGCCCTCCCAAGTTCAGGGGCATTCGGTTCACCTCTGTGCTGGACAGGGATGCTCCTGTCTTGCGTGCAGAGATCACAGTCCTGCTGGTGAAGGATGCGATACAGCCGGTCCCTCCAGCCGAGATGAGGTCAGGTTTTTACAGCCCATACTTCATCGTACCCAAGAAAGGCGGTGGGTTATGACCAATCCTGGACCTGCGCGTGCTGAACCGGGCCCTTCACAAGCTCTCATTCAGGATGTTGACGCAGAAACACATCTTTCAATGAGTCTGTCCTTTCGATTGGTTCGCAGCGATCGACCTCAGGGTCAACTGGGAAAAGAGCAAACTCTCCCCGATGCAGAGGATCTCTTTTCTCGGCATGGAGCTGGACTCGGTCAACCTCTCAGCACGTCTCTCAGTAGAGCGTGCACAGTCGATGCTGAACTGCCTGGGGTCCTTCCAGCCCAAGACGGTGGTTCCACTGAAACAGTTTCAGAGGCTCCTGGGGCATATGGCATCCGCAGCCGCTGTCACACCGCTCGGGTTGCTTCATATGAGACCGCTTCAGTGTTGGCTTCACGACCGGGTCCCGAGATGGGCATGGCGGCACGGCACTTACCGGGTTTCTGTCACCCCGTTCTACAATCAGACCTTCAGCCCGTGGGCAGATCTTGCCTTCTTCGGACAGGGGTGTCCCTTGGGCAAGTATCCAGGCATGTTGTTGTGTCAACAGATGCCTCTGCCAGGGGCTGGGGTGCCATGTGCAATGAGAATGCAGCTGCGGGGCTCTGGTCGGGGCCCCGACTGCAGTGGCATATCAACTGTCCCGAGTTGCAAGCAGTATGGCTGGCTCTGCGCCGCTTCAAATC